AAATAGACCCTAGAGGAGCCTCTCTCATTATATATATATAGATAGATAGATAGATAGATAGATAGATAGACAGGTAGATAGATAGATGCATAGATAGATATGTAGGCCATGCCCCACGGTTGCTTCTGTGATGTTGATCCCTGTTTTATTTGGACATTGTTTGATTTCTGCTCTGCTTGGCCATATAGCCACTTTCATTTTGTAAGCCCACAATGGGCAGGAGAACGGAGGGCAAAGCCCGGTGTGCTTTAACAAGAACGCGAAGACTTCGATGACAAACTTTGCCGCAATGAGAGGTGGAATGAGAGACAGCACGACGACAGAGCACAGCGTGCACAACAAAAATGTGCCCTCCTGCCCAGAGCCACTTGTGTTGGGCCCCCTGCTGATCTTGCGAAGATCAAGTCGAGCTGGGCAGAATTTCGATCAAACCCTAAACCCTAAACTCTAAACCCCTAAACCCCTAAACCCTAAACCCCTGAACCGCAAACCCCTAAACCCTAAACCCCTAAACCCTAAACCCTAAAAACCCCTAAACCCCTAAGCCCTAAACTCTAAACCGAGCTCCCTGCAAGGCGAAGGCTCCCCCTGCGCCTGGCATGGCATCACCTGTGAGATGGAGACCTGCGAAGTCATCGAGACCTTGGGCTGTCAGGAGGTTATAGGGAAAAAACCGTATCGCAATCACCGCATGAAAGCAACCCATTCGGGGGTCGAAAACAACCTCGGCCGTTATAGGGCGGTGCTAGGGAGTGAGGGAGCGGCCCAGGTTTTTCTGGGTTTTAATATTGTTTGCAATTTGCAACAGGAACTGCTCTAATTGCCCTGTTCTTGATCTCTGAGGATCAAGCTTCCTGATGCCGCTGGCGACATTGCTGCCTTGCAGCCTCTGCAGGAATTGCGGGTGGTGGCGCTTCACGGCCCCCATGTGGTTGGAGATTTGGCTTCTCTACGCGGCCTGACCAAGCTCGAGATCCTGACCCTGCACAGCGTGCAGGTCTCGGGAGACCTCTCTGCCTTAGAGAACCTTACGGAGCTGAAGACTCTGAGCTTGAGACAGGCGCCGATGTCTGGAGACTTTCTGGGCTTGCGGAGGCTGGAGAAGCTTGAGAGGCTGGATCTTCGACACTTGCAGGGCTCCGGAGACCTGAAAAGCTTGCAAAACCTCAGCCAGCTTAGCTTCCTGCAGCTGGAAGAGACGGGGATTTTCGGCGACATTTCGGGTCTGAAAGGACTCGGTGAGCTCACGAGTTTGCACATTCACAAGGAGCAGGTTTCGGGAGACATCTCCAGCCTTCAACTGCAGAAGCTTCAGTGGCTGATTCTGCGGGGGACCCTCATCTCTGGCGACCTGTCTCGCTTGCCACGCTGGCCCTTGCTTCAGTATCTGGATTTCGGAGACGTCCAGCTCTCGGGAGATATTTCTGGTCTAAAACACCTGACAGAGCTCAGGGATCTCTATCTCAGAAGAAACCCTGGAATCGGGGGAGATATCTCTGGTATGCACGACCTCACGGAGCTCAGGATGCTGCACATCGACAACACCAACGTGTCCGGAGACATCTCCAGCTTGCAGAACATGAGCCAGCTCCGTCGCATCTGCATCGAGGGCGCCCCCGAAATCTCCGGGTCTCTGTCAGCAATGGAGAACCTCCGGAAGATGAAAGTCTTGAGTTTGGAGAAGGCCAGGAAGATCACCGGGAACCTGAAAGACCTGCAAAATCTCCCAAGCATCCGATTCGTGAAACTCAGCGAGACGAAGATCCGAGGCCACCTCACGAGCTTGCGGTACCTGGCAAAGTTGGAGAGGCTCTACATGGCCAGCACCGACGTCACTGGCGACATCTTTGCCTTGACACATTTGCCGAAGCTGGAGGTTGCAGATCTATCGAAGACGCGGGTGTCTGGTTGGCTTTCTCCAATGTGGTTAGGATGCTGCCAAAGCCTGCGAGAGCTTCTGTTGGCCGACGGGAGCTCAGGGTCTGAACGATAATCGTCGTTTTGTGCATGTCAGATACCAGATACCTTGATAGCTCTGCACGGGATCCCTCTCTGCATTGAGGACAGCCGTGTCGGCTTTGAGCCAATGCCAAAAGCCTACTTCAGCGTCTCCACGAAGCCGCGCTTGCTGCCTGCAATTCAGGCTTTGGACGTGTCTTGCCTGGCATTGATGGAAGCTGGGGAGAGCTGGGCCATCAAACTCAGGCTCGCTTGCTCTCGCGCTTCAGCTGAGGTGAGCCGCTGCCGGTTTCGAGGCACTCTTGCACAGCTCCTTGTGCCGCTTGCCGAGACAGCTCTCACCAGCATCGCTGCCGCTGGAAATGGACTCCAAGGCGAGATGCCCAACCTGAACGCTATGCGTCTTGAGGTGGACGGAACCCGTTATGAGGTCTGGGGCAGCGTGCTCTCTGAATCCTTGCGGGCGCTAGATCTCTCGGAAAACAATCTCACGTCCTTGTCCATACTCCCTCTGAAGCTGCTGCGGATAGACTTGAGCCGCAACATGGGCCCCTTGGTCATCAGCCCTGTGGTCCTGGCGGAAGCGGTCAAGACGGAGGTCGACCTGAACCTTTATCGTACCACGCCACTTCCCTCAAATGATGAAGCCCGTTTTGTCAAAGCGCACACAGAAGCTGCTTAGATGCAGGCTTGCGAATCGCGACGAAGTACAACCTCTCTTGCACAAGGAACTCAAGCTGCAGGATACGAGGCCTTTGCGTCCGTGCATGGACTTGGACACCAGTACTTGTGGCGAGTTGCCCACTTTGTCGGATCCCTGAGGTCCCCTCCGGAGGAGAACGCCGGCTATGCCTGCACTGACCTGGCGGCGACCAACCTCCGCGTGACGCCCGACCGCTTCCTGCCGGAGCAGATGTGCGTCTGTCGTCCGGGCCACATAGGCTTTGGCATTAACTGCAGCACCTGCCCTTCCAACACCTTCAGTGATACGGAGAATCAAGTCGAGTGCCACGCCTGCCCACTGCACAGCTCGGCACCGCCCAGAGCCAGCTCCTTGCAGGCTTGCAAGTGCACCTTCGGAAATGCGAAAGGCGAGGGGAAAGATGCAAGTTGCCAGTGTGAGGTGCACACAGCCCTCCTGAAATCGGAAGGCCGCTGCGAGGTCTGTAGCAAGCTACACCTTCGCTGCCCTCAGCCCGGAGCTTTAGCCAGCACCGCCAAAGCGGCAAAGAACTTTGCCCGTCTCTCAGAAAACGCGGAGGAAGTTTTCAAGTGCCTGGATGCCGGTCGCTGTTGAGATGCTGGGGAGTCAGGCTGCGCAGATGGACGCATGTCGCAAGACCAGGGCAGGGTTCAAGTTCTGTTCTCGTGGGGACTCCGCTCTTGTTGACTTTGGTAGATTTGCCTTATAAGGATATGCCGGGCCACTCTGCCTGGAATGTGCCACTGGCTACCGCGCTTCGAAACAGCAACTTGCAAGCACGGGAAGGCTTCACCTGCAAGCGTGCAAAGACAGCAAACCGCAAAACAGCCCACAAATGTTTTTTGGTTTTTTGGATGTCGGAAATGATTCAAGTAGGATTTCGTGATCTCTTACTGGTTTACTAGCCCTGTCTTTTCCCTTCGATGGCCTCTGAGGCACTGCGTGCCATGCCACGGAGCCTTAGGTGCTCGGACAAAGGCGTTTGCCCTCATTTTGATGGTGGCTGCTTTGGTCTTGGCGGCCTTTGCTGGCATCGCTTTTGTCTTCAGGCACCTGCGAATTCAGAGTTGGTTTTGGTGAATGAAATGTCTGAAGGATCCGGCACGGAAAGAAACAGCTGAGGAGTTGCTACACATTGTGGCCCTTTTGAGCTGCACCTTGTAGTGGTGTAGTGAGCTGCCATTTCGATTTGGGCAAAACATAGCCACCGTCCGGTGACGAATCCTTGTTGAGGACAGCTAACTCCCACTCTCAGCATCCTGGGCCGCGGCCCTCTACTCCGTGGATTCCTGTTTCTTCTCTCGCCGTTTGCCCGGCTACGAAAGGCGGTATGTGCCATGCAGATGCCCTGCAGATGCCATGCAGCCCGCACGATACAGGGGCCTGGTCACCCTAAACCCCTGAACCCTAAACCCTAAACCCCTGAACCCTAACCCCCTGAATCCCTAAGCCTTCTGAAGCCTTCAGAGGACCCGTGCGCTGGCGCACTTCGGCCCCGGCCTCGGCGAGTGCAGGCGCCTTTTCACGGCCCAGGCCAGGCCTTTCTTCGTCTTTTTTTGTTTTTGTTTGGCGGGGAGGGGGGGGGTGCCCTCCTTATTTTTTGGAGGTTCTAGGGTTTAGGGTTCAGGGTCTAGGGTTTAGGGTTCTAGAGTGGGTGGTTGTAAGTCGGGGGGGGCTATTTAGATCCCCGAGTATGGGTTTGTGAGGTATAACTATAGTTGTCCCACTTCTAACTACCCGTAAGCCCCCAAGCGGGGGTAGAGAGAGCTCAGGACCCTGTTCGCTGAAATGGTAGAGGAAGAGTCCTCAACTAAGCTCTTTGGGTCGGGTTGAGACACGGTTGTTGTAGTTCTTTAGGGCTCAGGGTCTCAGGTCCGCACCGAGTTATGAACTTAGTTTCGGAGTTTTGAGGTTCCAGATGGAGCTTACCTTGGTTCGCGTGCATCTCCCAGATTCACTTTGCATATTCGTGTTCTCATGCGTGCATTCACATGCATGCAGCAAAAATGATTATATATGTGGCTATGTCGAGTACACGGGTACCCGAGCACAGTGGTGCTGGAAGTTGAGTTGTAACCCAGGAGCGCATGAGAATCATTTGCCAAAAGGCCGTGGAGAGAGGCTAAAGGGGCTAAAGGGCTTTGAGGGCCTCTGCAATGGGACTTGGGAGATGCTGTGCTTGCTCGCCGTGAGCCGGTTTCGCGGGACCCTTCGGGCTCTCCCGAGGCTGAACCCTCAGTGACTCAGGCCACGATTGCCTTGTGCTACCGCTGAAGTCTTCTCTTTGAGGCAAAATTTCCCACGTCTTTGCCATGCCTCATTTCGACACAGCGCTTTGCAGGCACCTGTGCTGCTGCAATTGGCACAGCTTTGGGTCGTGCTGGCGTGCCTCGGATTTGAATTTCTTTTTCAGCTCCGATTGGCTCCTTCTTCCAAAAAAAATCGCCCAAGTCGGTGAAGCCATCTTCGTTCTTAAGGCAGCTGGCGAGAACGGCGCCGATGCACGAGGCCTGCGGGGTTGCAGAGGCAGCTTCAAGCAAGGGGCCCTTTTGTTTGGGGCTTGTGACGTGTGTTTGGATAACATGCTTCTTAGGTAGGCGCTGGATCCCTGGCCTGTCCACTGGCAGCAGCATAGCCAGGAGCATGAATGTCATGGTGGCAACAGTTGTTGGCCACTGCTAAGGCAGCAGAAAGCCTTGAACCTTCAAGCCCTGGCAATTCCCAGGAACTGCAAGCCGAAGCAGGTCATCGTGGCGACTTGCATCGCGAAGCTTAAGCAAGTGGCAAAGCCTCTCCATCTTGAAACCGAAGTTCGAGAAATTCGCAGAAGCTTTTCTAGGAGCCCTGTGAGTTGTACTCGCGGATGTTATGTTTTCGAACTTGGCACAAATGGTATCATGTCAGCACGCCAGACACTGGATAGTCCGATAATAGGATTCCACATCATGAAGTGGGGGTTGCAGATTCAGCGCAAGCACCCGTTGGTGTAGCTTTGAGCAGCACAAGCGTGAACGCCCCACCGGTCGAAGCTTAGATTGAGAACAGGCAACACCTGGAACTTCCTCAACTCAAGCCGCTGCTTTGCAACTGATTTCAACCCCGAGCCCTCGAATCAGCGTTCCTTGCCTTGCAGCCCGCGGTGGGAACGCAAGAGGAATGAAGAATCAAACCAACCTGTATCTACACATTAAACACCAACCCGAGGGTTGTGATAGAACGAAGCCTCGCAGCATGCTCGAGAAACCAACGGTGAGTTTCATGATCCGCTCAGTACTCGGGAAACTTCGGATCTCAATCCTCATCTCAGGTGACTGGTTGTTCTCGTACATGGAAGTCTCCCAGCTGACGCCGGCAGAGTTGCAGAACTTCCTAGCTCCCGGGCTTTGAAGACACGGACAGCAAGGGGCATCGATGTCGCAATGGCTGTGAAATTGCCTGTGCTAGTCCAAAACAACCAACCGTCTCTGAGCAGCCTCAGCCTCACCTCGTGACACCCGCGTTCTGTCGAGATGCGGAGTGGTCGGATGTTGACACTCCCTGCCGAGAACACCGAGAGACCTTGAAGCCACAACACCGGAACCCTATAAACCCCAATGCTTCCGAAGCCCTACAGGACCCTAAAACCCAATCAGTTTCCCCCTGAGGCTCTTCAGTGCCGCTTCCATGGGCCCTCAGTTCGATGGTTCTTCGCTCTGGCGACTCCCTTGTTGCCCCTTCTCGTCCTCGCGAGCTGCAGCTGACTCTTTGCTGGGAGAGACGGCTGGGTCACTCGCAGGGGGTTTTCAGCCTTCTGCTTGGGTTTGGCTTGCTAGACTCTTCTTGCAGTCTTCGTGGCATGGTACTTCGGAGAGAGGTTGTTGTACCCTCCTATGGCAAAGCCCGGGAAGTTGCGTCTGGTTCGGCACTCGTTTTCACACATGCACTGAAATGGGCCTTTGGGGGTTCGCTGGGACTTTACTGGCTGATGTATGCAGGTGTGTCTTCGGTACTATTCGTTGTTTTGGAAGGCTGCCCCTGGTGCGCGAGTCGGGTGATAATCTCTAGACGCGACTTTTGACTGCAAAGCTGCCAGGTCTGCTAGGTGTGTTGTATTCATCCCGGAACCAGCTGTTTATTTTCTTGCGTAGTGGCCTGCAGCGGTTTGCTGAGGCCTTTCATTAAATTAACTAAGGGACCATCTTTCCGGGAATCCAATCACTCGGCCAAGGCTTGGAAATCTGCACCCACGGCACCGGCACCTCGGCAAACAGCTGAGGCCCTCAGAGGCCTCTGAGCCCTAAACGCCTAAACCCTACAAGCCCTAAACCCTGAACCCTAAACCCCTAAAAGCCCCCCTAAAAGCCCTAAAAGTCCTAAACCCTGAAGCCTAAAGCCCTAAAAGCCCTAAACCCTGCACCCTAAAGCCCTAAAAGCCCTAAAACCCAAAACCCTGAAGCCTAAACCCTAAACCGTAACCCTAAAAAAAAAAACTAAAAGCCCCTAAACCCTGAACCCTAAACCCCTAAAGGCCCTAAAAGCCTTAAAAGCCCTACAAGCCCTAAACCCTAAAAGCCCAAAGAGCCCTAAACCCTTAACCCCTAAACGCCCTAAATGCCCTAAAACCCTAAACCCACCCCCTAACACACTCCCCAAAGGGATCCGCGTGGCCTTGAAAGTCTTGACCCTCCTCTACGTCGGTGGCGCCTCTGGGGCCCTGTTCAGGAGTTTAATTTAAGTTGCCCATAATAGGGATCTATAGCAAGTGATAGGGATCTACAGTAAATAATAGGGACCTGTAGTAAATAATAGGGATCTATGGTAAATAATCGGGGTCTATAGTAGATAACTGGGCTTCCTTATTATGATAACCCTAAGTTTAAATCCCCTGAAAGAAGAGCCCAGGCCTCTGGGGCCTTCCGCTTCCAGGCCTGCCAGCGCCTGGACGGCGAAGGCCTTTTTCTGGAGGTTTAGGGCTTCTAGGGGTTTTTTAGGGCTTTAGGGGTTTTAGGGTTTAGGGGTTTAGGGGCCTTTTGGGGCTTAGGGGTTTTGGGGCTTTTAGGGTTTGGGGGTTTTGGAGGCTTTTAGCTTTTCGGGTTTTTAAGGTTTTTAAGGTTTAGGGTTTAAGGTCCTCCAACTTTCGTCGACTTGGGTAGTTCTCTAAATTAGGGTCCTTTTCAGGGTCCTTTGTATAAGGGCGCCGTACTATATTAGGGGGGCCTAAAAAGGAACCCTAATGTTGAGAACTGCCCACTTACTTGTGGCCATGAGTCGCTTGCTCTTTCCGAGAGTTTTTCGGGCTGGGAGGCCGCACCATCCCGGAGGACTTGGCCTTCCGCCCGCTGCTTCCTCGCACTTGGCTAGTTTAGGGTCTATAGGGTGTACCCATAGGCCGTAGGCCCCTAAGTAGTTCCTTTTTGGGGTTATCTATATATACACCATAAAAAGGAACTGATTAGGGGCCTGTGGGTATCTTTAGGTGGGCTTCCATACACTGTTTTTCAAGGAGACTTTTCGGCTTTTGGGAAAGGATCCTGAGTATGGTGCCTGGGTCCCGGCCACCGAGCTTGTGGCGAAGGTCCGTGGGACCGGTGATGACCGTAGCTTCCCTTTAGACT